TTCCTGTGAAGGAAGGAACTTCTTTTTTCATTTTTTGATAACCTATAAATAGAAAAAATGATGAACGGACAGTAACAAAGATGGGAAAACCAAACACAAACAAAGTTGCAGAGTTTAGATGCGATGCTTCGCCGGAATGTTGCTACCATGGCGAACACTGGAGCTACGCCATCTTCTTCGCCACAAAACATAAACCTCATATTTTTCGATCAATCTTCAGTAAAAAAATTAATAATCAGACGAATCACAACTACGATGGTACCCCAACAAATAAAATAACAAAAATAGCAAGAAATAGTTCCCACCAAGAAGATATGAAGTCAAGCCCAAACACGGCTCCTCCTTCCGTGAACCCAACCGGTAGTCTCCGGCGTACCTAGATGGTGGGGATAACAAAAGGACACATTTTGAATTTCAATGACCAAACTCTAATTCTAAAAATAATAATATATTATCATTATAAAATGATAATATAGCATATGACCCACTTACAAATTTTAATTCAATTTTAAAAACAAGAAAGAAGAACTCTGATGAAAAACTCACGCGCCCAAATATAGCTAAATACACGTAACTTGCCATGTCAGGGTGAAGTGTCTACGAGATGCATTTAATACACACTTGAAGTATCAAAATAGTAAATGGCAGTGTTTGTATGATCGTTGAAGACAATTTAAAGGGGTGGTTTATGTATTTCGACTAAAGAAAATAAAGAAGAATTAACTCAAATAGCCGTCCACCCAAACGTTTAAACTAAAAATAGTTGGTGGAGGTATAATATATACATATTTCATGTAGGAATTTTTACCTACCTATACTACGTATAAAACTTATTTACCCTCCCTATTCAAGTTATAGCTTAATTACATGATCATATACAATTTATCAATTATATACAAATTAGTTTTAAATGAGTATCCCTTGATTGTAGCCTTTTAATTTAGTAAATCCCAAAAAATCCTCACAATTTCTTACTTACCCAGACAAAACCCGATCTTTCTTAGAGATTTTCCTCTTTCTCTCTTTCAAATCAACTCTCTTTGTACATCGATTCTACAAGATTTTTTTCTTCTTCTAAAACTCATAATTTTCTCTAATAATGACGAAGAAAGGGATTAATTTTTTATCGATCTGAATTTTGCCATGGCTGGAGTTTGGAGCTTTTCTCGGCTTCCCCTTTTCTTGATGGTGTTCCGATGGCGAGCTAGCAGTAGATGTATATTAATTATTTGACTGGATTGTTCAAATTGAAATTGTCAATCAATAAATTTTAAAGGTATTTGACTCTCCACTATTGACGGTCATTAAAAAGTTTCGAAGCTTTGAATTCGAATTCGGATTTGCAAGAAATATTTTTTTGTTGGATTAGGTGTTATTGCAAATGATTGTGAATATTTTATAGAGTCTATATCTCGATTTTGAGGATATTTGGTGAATATTAGATTTGATTTGGCTGAATTTTCTGATTGAAATTCAAAGAAGAAGCAGAAGAACACACTACATACAAAATATATACAAATTATACACAAAATACATACAAAAGACATATTGTATAAAATTTATATGAAAATTGTATTTAAGTTGTATGATGTTGTAGTTGTATTTAATTGGGTAAGAACAATGTATGCAAATTTTAGATCAGTTGTAAATAAGTTGTGTATTGTATAATTAGTTGTATGAAATTCATTTTTTGTATGTATGTTGCTGTAGATACATCAATTTTTGTATTAACTTTGTATATAATTTATTTTTAATTTGTATCATTATTCTTTTCTTAAAATAAGTAATTATGGAAAAGAGAGAGAAAATTGACTTTTCCCGAATCTATTAGAAAATTTTCTTGAGGGATTTAAGTCTAAAGAGAAAGGACAAAAAGATTTTATTTTGTTAGGTAGTGTAGCAATTCCCCCTTGATTTTTCTTTGTGCTGCGGTTCTTTTCCAAGGATTTTATTTGAATCGGGTGACTTTCTATGCTACTTTAGCTGTGTTAGTTTAATTGAATTGGACTTTTTCCGACAATGGGTTTATTAGACAATTTTCTTGAGGGATTTAAGTCTAAAGAAAAAGGACAAAAAGATTATCTTTTGTTAGGAAGTGTAGCAATTCCCCCTTAGTTTTTCTTTGTGCCGCGGTTCCTTTCCAAGGGTCTTATTTGAACTAGGTGTAGTTAATTTTATTTTTTTTAGGAGTAGGAGCCAGTGTGAGATGAATTAAATTGAAGCAATATCTCTTGACTTTGTTATGCCTTGAGAATAGTGAGTACTTTGGTTGTGACACTTAGGCTCAGTTTTTGACTCTTGTAGAAGTACCTTAATGATCTTAACTTTGCTTAACTGCTTTGACTAGAGTGTCTTGATGAGTCCAATCCTGAGTGAGTTATGTGTCATGTGTGTGCAAGGTTTTGTGTTATTCTATGCATTGCATTTGATGTCTAGAACTTGCCCCGTGTGTTTGCAAAGCGAAATAGTAGTTTTGTTCAGTCTTGGAAATGATATAAGCGTTTCTTTGTTGAGCCATATATATATTTTACCCGCCTAATTGTTATGTATCGTAGTTAACCCCTTTGAGTCTGTAATCCTGTTTCTTTGGCAACCACACTACAAGCCTTACCTATTTGTTTGAATTAACCATCTATTTGAACTTTCTAACCTCTCATGAGCACTTAAATTGTTATGAACTTTATAAAAGTTAAAGAGTGGGGTAGTTAGTTTGGCTTTTGAGTGGAACTAATGAAATAAGGAGAAATGTGCACTATTTTAAAAAAGTAAGAGCCACTTGAATTGAAAAAAAATAGTTGTATTGCTGTGGAAAAAAAATTCCTTGAGAAGTGGTGACTCTTGATGTAATTGTGCTTAAAGAAGTATGGGGTAATATACATTGATGTGAAGGTGGAGTTTGGTTTGACATAAGTATGGGGTTTGAATGTTAAAGTATATGTATTAAAGTGCTTAGGGAGGTGTAGTCACTCATCTAAATGTATCCTACCCGTCCCACAGCCTACATTACAACCAAATAAAGTCCTACTTGATCCTAGACTGAATGAGCTCGATTAGTAGAGTAGTACACTACGAGCAAGCCTATGGTGCATCTTTTGTGGCATATGAATGTTATTTCTGAGAGTGAGTGAATTCTTTCTATCTTGAGTTCCTAAGTGTTCTTAATTTTTTTATTTTTTTGTGTGAAACTTCTCTCTTTGTTGTGTGAGGGCACGTGATTCATGAAGGAAAGGTAATCCTTGACCTCTACGTTAGAGTAAGTGGATGAGTTGTGAATGATGCGTGGTACTTGTGTAGTCAAATCATGAGGTGAAGATGTTACGCTTTTGTGCTTAGTCTATTTTAAATATTCTTGATGTGATGAGTTAGGAGAATTGTTTAGAAAGGCCGTGTCTATATAAACTGTAGTTTCATTGCTCGAGGACAAGCAATGATTTAAGTGTGGTGTTTTGATGATAGGCTATAATTACGTATTTTAGTCCATTATTACATTCCAATTCACTGCACTTCAGTTGAGTTTGAGCTTTAATCGCTAGTATTTTGCAATAATTATGTGTTTTATGCCTTGTAGGAGTGATTTCGAGCTATGTAGATGTTATGGAATGAATTCAAGTAATTTGGAGCTTTGAAGTCTGAGTAAAAGCCCAAGGAATTAAGATGGGATCGTGTTCGGGGATCGACGGATGATAGCTAAGAATCGAGTAGGCATATTGCGCACTGTCTAGTAAAATGCACATAACTTTTCTCTCAAAACTCCATTTGAGCTCCACAATATATGGTTGGAAAGCTAATTCAAAGGGCTACAACTTTTATATGCACATAACTTTTCTCTCAGAACTCCATTTGAGCTCCACAATATATGGTCGGAAAGCTAATTCATGGAGGATGAATTCTTGTTATGTTTTAATATAATTTAACCTTTGAATTTGTCTATTTGTTCAACTACGTGCTTATTTCAGTTGATTGAATGGCCATCGATTGACAGTGCCTATTTATTATGTGTTGCTTGAGAAAGGATACATATTTAGGTGGTTGTTGAACAACGTCACGCCTAACGTATGTGAGAAATCAATACAACGGGTTTAAAGGTAGGTTTAGAAATAACAAAGCCTTGACGTGGACATAATGAACGGTTAGATAAAGCCAACTAGCGTAGTTCGAGAGAATATTTCTAGTAAGAGAATTACGGCACCTAAAGTGCTCACGATCAGTAGAGAATACATAAGCGAAATTGTAGGGAACATAGCGGGAAGGATTCCAATATTTAGGAAAATCATAACTCTAGACCTCCTAAATTTAATCTCCAACCCTTAGTATCTTTAGTTGTTAATTTACTGCTTTAGTTTCTTAGTTAATTAGTTCGATATAAGAATCTTAATCCTTATAACTTAGAAATTTATTCGAGCTTGTCTTCTTAGCGATATTGAACAATTATGGAGAAACCTTAGTTCTTTGTGGGATTCGGCTCCGGACTTTTAGACCAGATTATATTTGCAGCGACCGCTTATCCTTTTTAGGACTAGAATTAGGCGTAATCACTAATTATGGCTTAAAATAGGTAACACACAACTGAAAGGAGTCTTATTTAGATGGAAGGACAATTTGAACTTCCTTCCCTTCAGTTACGCCCTTTTTCAAGCAAAGAATCCCCCAATTTAAGATACTAATAATGGATTGTACATAAATTATAAGAAAAACTTGCTTAAGGCAGGTAATATACAAAACTTGGACAATTTTAGTAAATAAGTTTCAAATATTATATAGGAAGAAAAAAATTCCTTTCATTTATTGTGTGTATAATCCTGTATCATTAACGTATAATCTATGTATATGACTAAAAAGGTAAACAACGAATATGACCAGCTATTTGCGTAAAGATCCCAATAAATTCTTCAGTAAACAAAAGAGTAAGGTGAAAGACTCAAAGGCCCAAATTACCCAACAATAGTATTAGTGGTCGGCCGATCAACCCAGCCCATCCTTTTTTTTTAAAACCCAACAAAACCCTAGCCACTCTCCCCCGCAACTATACATTAACCTGCTAAAACCTAACCCTAATTTTCTTCTCTGTGTGCGAAGTAGATCTCAGCTCTTCTCGCCGTCCTTGTCTCCAGAGCTCCCAAAGCGCCATGTAAGTTTGCTAATCTCCGCGGATTAAACAATAGAAAAAAAAAGAGAGAAAGAATTGCGATATTCTGTTTTTTTTTTTTTTTTTTTTTTGCTTGGATATACTGTAACTTTGATTTGTCAGCTATATATCTTCCTAGGCTGTTGGTGTTAGGAATCAATAACGATTCTTAATAATGATGATAAGTGATTTTAGATTTTATCATACGGTTTGAATTATTGGAAATGACAGTTTTGAGTGCGAAGAAAATCGTGAATTAGGAATTGGTGATTTAGGGCTAATAGATCTCGTAGCTTTTGGTTAGGTGGTAGTGGAGTTTAGTTTTGTATAAACCGGTTTTGTTTTTTGTTCCATTTTTTCTTGGATGATCTTGATGTCTGCTGTTTTAGCTGCGGAAGTCGGTAGATAATGAGTATGTCCCTCTATTTTACGTATATGCCAAGTCCTGAGCTAGTATTTCTCCAGGTCTTTGCATTCATTGTTGTACTATAATTTTGTTGTGAAATGCTATTCTTGGTCGTCTGTTTTTGTTAGAGTTATCACTTGATCCTGATTATTGCATTGGTTTGGAACAGAATTGTCGTAGAAGATGGTGAGAGTTAGTGTGTTGAATGATGCTCTTAAGAGCATGTACAATGCTGAGAAGAGGGGAAAGCGTCAAGTCATGATTAGGCCTTCTTCCAAAGTCATCATCAAGTTCCTTATTGTCATGCAGAAGCATGGTACTTTAGCTTGTTTACTTTATCTTCTAAGCTATTATTTCCTAACCTCGTTGTTTTCTTACATTTGCTATCCTTGTGTGTAGGGTACATTGGAGAATTTGAGTATGTTGATGATCACAGGTCAGGAAAAATTGTAGTTGAACTGAATGGTAGATTGAACAAGTGTGGTGTCATTAGTCCTCGTTTTGATGTTGGAGTTAAGGAGATTGAAGGATGGACTGCTAGGTTGTTGCCTTCCAGACAGGTATCTACCTGGCATCCTTGCTGTGCAGCTCATAAGATCATTTTGTGTGATGCTTTCTTTTCACTCATACAAATTATGTTCAGGAAGATTATATGCATTTATTACTTTTTAAAAGTTACTGGAAGAATGTTTATAATTAATCATAACTAGTGGAAATTTTCGGAATGGCCTTAGGGGAAAGAATGTCATGAAGCTATATTAGTAGCTAGGACTTGATAAGTCAAATTCACCTGTTAATTACAAACAAACAACAACAGCCTAGTGTAATCCCACAAGTAGAGTCTTGGGAGGGTAGTATGTACGTAGCCTTAACCCCTACCTTGGAAGGGGTCACATGTTAATTACATTATAATGAAAATAGAAATTGTAGATTTTGGTGTCCCAATGTAGAAATTTTTTCTTCTGTCTCTTGTATTACACAAGTTTATCTGGTACTGAAGTATTTTGTTTGAGCTTGCAGTTTGGATACATTGTACTGACTACATCTGCCGGTATCATGGACCATGAGGAGGCTAGAAGGAAGAATGTGGGTGGAAAGGTTCTTGGTTTCTTTTATTAAGCTCCTTATGTTGACAAGGATGAACACCCAGTTTTGGTGTACTTCGGCCTTCATTACGATTGAAATGGTTCTCAGTTTGTTTTGAGTTTTGTTTCCTTTCAATTGTCAGTAGGGATATTATCTGCATTTCGTGGACAAGATTATCAATACTGTTAACTTGGATCCATTTGAACTTGGAAGCCTTCTTAAAGCGCTTGTCATTTTAGTCACTGAGTAAATGGTTTGTAATCTTTTGTTGTGTCAATTGTTGTTAGAAGCCTTCTTAAAGCGCTCTTCAGCCCTCAAGCTTGGTGAAGCCATCTGTATGCTATATATATGCTCAGTTGGTGCTTTAGTGTAGGCGTCAAGGTACTTAGTTGTGCTAGGGTGTTAAAATGGTTAAAAGAAAACAGTTAACCACCCATATTATCTACTAGAAAATGTGTTGGGTAATGAACTTTATAAAAACGGGTCAAATATGGATAAGAATCATATTATCCATATGGATAACCAGTTAGTAGTCCATGGATAACCAATGGGCCTAACTTTTACATTTGTAAAGCCTCAAATTGGGGATTCTTCAAGTTATGGGGATTTAGAATTCTCCCAAAAGTGATCATATACAAGAAGTCATGGATAGTATGGGTAATCCATATTATTCGCTGGTTAACCCGTGTTTATCCGTATTAAATGTGGGTCAGGTCGGATAATTGATCCGTTTTCATTACCCGTTTTCGACTTGAACCATATTTGATCCGACCCGCCCGTTTGCCATTGCTTGTGCACATCTTCACCCATGGGTCAGTTTCATTAAAAATATATATTTGATGAAGTGACATTAAAAAGTGGTATATTAGTTGTTGAGAAAATGCCATGACTGAATTTTAGTGAGCGAGAGTAAAAAAGTTGAAATTTAGTATCAGCATGTAATGACCAAGAGTAGACAGTTGAAATTTAGAATGCGTAAGCTCGCTACTGAAACTCCAAAATTGCATTTTTTCCAGCCAAATTAGAAATTTAAAATGGCTTTTGAACTTGATTGACATGATTTTATTTGCGTCCATATAGTTAATTATTCTTTCATTCGTTTGTCCAATAATTATGGATAGAAATGACACCAGGTAGCCACTCTAAAGGGCCGCTATTTAAGAATTAGCCAGTGCGTCTTGAATCAGTTTTTTAATTCAAAATTTTGGGACAAAAATTTCCTGAATTGTCCTGAAGTTAAAATTATTAGTTTAAAGTTTCAGGACAAAAGTAATTTCTAGCTAATCTCTAAATAGTATCCTTGAGAATGGCCATCTGTGCAGTTGTTTATCTAAAGAGACATTTTCTTACATTATATTTCCTTTTTTTAGTTTTTCTTTATTATTTGCTTTCTTCTTTTGACTACTCGATGACAACCTTCGGGAATTATTTGTTTTGAGCCTCTCCATAAGGTTCTGAGTATAACACAATGACATCCGCAGTGGAGCAACTATTTATTATTTATGTAAAATAAATAATACATAACATCTTGAATTAAATATACAAGATTCATTAAGTACACAATATCTTGGATTATACAAATTATATTGAATAAGCAATCACACATCAGTTGGATTAAATGCACAAAAAGCTCTAAAAATATACTACATGTCATACCAAATGAGATTTTCAGCACTCAAAGTACCAATAACAAAATTAAACCATAATATCATTTTACAATAAACAAAAAGCAAATAACTTTGACAAACAATAACTTTCTCCTTTGCTTAGTCTGTTGAAGAGGTGGCAAAATGGTTAAAAGAAAACAGTTATCCATTAAAAAATGGGTTGGATAATGAACCATTTAAAAACGGGTCAAATATGGATAAAAAACCATATTATCCACTTAGAAAATGGTTAACCAAATGGATAAACAATGGATCAAATGTATTTAACTTTTACATTTGTAAAATCTCAAATTGGAGTTTCTCAAATTTGGAAGACTAGGAATTCTCTCATAAGTGATGATATTTAAGAAGCCATGGATAATATGGATATCCATATTATCCACCGGATAAACCCGTTTTTTATCCGTCTCAAATACGGATCGGGTCGGATAATTAATCTGTTTTTTAAATTACTCGTTTTGACCCACTCATATCCGACCTGACTAGACCCGCCCGTTTTTAAAAGAGACTCTCTTCGTTCTCCAGTCTCTTTTACTGATTATCTTTTCCTTCAATCAACTGAATTTCCTCGGCAACCGATTATTTTTTTTCTTCGTCTTCTTTGAGTTTCTCCTTCAGTACATCAATATCCTTTTCCATATTGTAATATTTCTCTTCGGTTTCTTTTCATATTCTCCGGTACTTTTGAAATAATCTCACATAGTATTCATGCTGCCATGGTTCATTGTATTATTCCTCGAAACTAGGATCTTCATCCTACACACAAGAACAAATAACAATATCAGCTCCTAGCAAACAGAATTAAACAATAAAGCATAAAATCTGCATATTCATTACTCACAAGATATTTATACGCCCAAAATAATCGACCCAGATTGAATTTACACCATGTAGTCTTCAACACTGCATGTTTTTTTATAGAAACATTAGAGTTATTACCTAGACTTGGCATTGATTGTTGCAGTGATATTCCACACACACTTAGGAAAATCATCTCGAGGGGCTATTGATTCATTGAAGAAGACGAACTTGTCGTGAAATGGAGAAGAGCTGGTTGTGTATAGGCCTAGGTTCCTAAGTTTAAAATGGGTATATAGTAAATTTAATTAAAACAGATTTATGAATTATTTGACCTCTCAATTCATTCAACAAAATAATGACCATATATCAATATATATTCTTCCATTACTGATCAGTTGTCAAAAGGGTTGATTATAAACTAATGGACGACGTGACTCTATTCGATAGGATTTGTATGATCTATTATGTACTAGTGTTCGAGTGACTGAGCAAATTGCAGAGCAGAAAATCTGCAGAAACTCAAATGCGATGACGAAGAAGATGAGAAATAAACACTTACCGCACTAAAAGATAACACAATATATCCCTTAAACGTAATGCCCAATCCAATGTAATATACTTCAATGAAATAAAATTGAAAAACAGAAGAGAATTGCGGAAGTCATTGGGATTTTATTAGATCAGTCAAAAGGTTATAAATTGTAGGGACTGTAATTCTAACTGCTCTAATATCTTCAATGGAGATTATGATGATGTCTCCAATGGATCCCTGTAGAAGAAGAAGAAGAAAAGAAATGGGTTAGAGAGTAGTGAGAGAAGTCGAGAAAGAGAGTAGAAGTTATAGAGAGAAAGAATTGATGAATTACCAGTATTTGCTTGACTATTCCGTTGGTAATTCTGTTACTAATATAGATTCTAGAATCTTTCCAAGTAGATCTCCACCCTTGAATATTAATAGGGTTAGTCATCTAGGCTGTCCATCATGCGAACCCATGAATGCTTCAGATGTTGCCACGTCACCTTGTGCTATTAGCTCTAACCCTAATCTTTATTCCTTCTTTCTTATTTCCTTTAGCCGACAATATAGGTTTATTACAATATCCCTCCGATGAAGAAAGACCTTGTCCTCAAGGTCTAAGTGAAGCCACAAATTCCGGAAATCGACCCTTGATATAGCCCCAATCTTCCAATGTCGCCTCTTCTTCCCCCAGATTTGTCCATTGCACCAGTACCTTCACCCCCACTCCGTTATCAACTTTAATCATTCGTCTCTGCAAGATGGCTAATGGTTGAACCAGCATCTGACCTTCGTCGTCACAAATTGGAGGTTGTGATTGTGGGTATATCGATGGGCCTACATGTTTCTTGAGCTGCGACACATGAAAGACCGGATGGATTTGGGATCCGGGTGGAAGCTCGAGCCGGTAAGCCACTGCTCCTATTTTCTCAGTGATTTTATATGGGCCATAGTACTTAGCACTTAATTTCAAACTTCTTCGCACTGCTACTGATGTCTGCCTGTATGGTTGGAGTTTAAGATAGATCAGATCTCCAACTCCCAAATTCCTGTCAGATCTGTTTTTATCAGCATAAAACTTCATACGAGCCTGGGCTTGATTCAAATTTTCCTTTAAGTTCTGCAACATTTGTTGTCTCTGGGCGAGGAGTGACCCTACTTCTGTTTTTGTAGAGTAGGGTAAGGACCCTAATGGAACTTGTATCGGAGGAAAATCATATAAGGCTTGAAAAGGAGTGGACTTTAGTGAGTTGTGGTAATTAGTATTATACCACCACTTAGCTAGAGGTAGCCACTTCACCCACTGTTTAGGATTGGTAAACACCATAGATCTCAAATAAGATTCTAAGCATCTGTTTAGTCTCTCCGTTTGACCATCCGATTGGCGGTGATAGGAAGTAGTCATATTCAGCTTAGTGCCCATAGTTTTAAAGAGCTGTTGCCAAAATTGGCTAGTAAAAATAGCATCCCTGTCAGTTACAATAGTTCTTGGCAATCCATGTAACTTGTATATCTCCTTTAGGAAAACCTCAGCTACATCTTGTGCTGTATATGGATGTTTGAGGGCTAAAAAATGGTCATACTTAGTCAGTCTATCCACTACTACTAATATGACTTCCATACTGCTAGACTTAGGTAGCCCTTCAATGAAATCCATGGCTATGTCCTGCCATGGCATTTCTGGGATAGGCAATGGTTGTAGTAGACCTGGAGATAGCACATTCTCTGTTTTCAGTCTTTGACAAACATCACATTCTGAAACCTTCTTTATTATCTCAGCTTTCATATTGGGCCAATAGAATATTCCTTTAATTCTTCTGTAAGTCCCCAACTGCCCTGCATGTCCACCTAAGGGTGACTGATGTAGTACTTCAAAAATCTTGTTTCTGAGGTGAGCTCCTCCTCCTATGTATATCCTCTGTTTATACCTTAAAATCCCATGTTGTAAAGTGTAGTGTGGTTTGCTATCAGGTGCTATTGTCAACTCAGCAGACAGTTGTGTAGCTGTGGGATCACTCTGGTAACTCTGAACAATTTCTTGCATCCAAGTAGGTTCAGTAGTAGTAATGGCAGATAGGCTGGAATTTTCTACTTCCCTTCTAGATAGTGCATCAGCTACCTTGTTTTCTGTCCCTTTTTTGTATTGTACTTCATAATCCAACCCTATTAATTTAGTTAATCCTCTCTGTTGGAGAGCAGTTGTTACTTTTTGCTCCAGTAGGTATTTAAGGCTGTGATGATTAGTTCTAATGACAAAATGTCCCCCTTGTAAGTAGTGTCTCCACCTATCCA